ACCAGCTTAGGCTAAATCATATGCGTAGGAGTTAAGGTAGTAAAACAATCAATTAATCTAGCATTGCGTTCGTGGTTGATTTTCAACGATAATCCCTAAACTAACAATGAGATTAGTTACCATGAAGTCATCCCCTTAATCACTCTCTTAATCATGAGGGTCTAGCAGAGGAAGTTAACACAATTCTTTATGACTCAATAATTCCACAATCGAAGTAGAGTTAGACGATATAAGAGTGGGAAGAGAGCTCACCTCAATGATAAGGAACCACCTTGAAATTCTTGGACAGCAATTACACATTCCAGGTTGCCTGAACAGCAGGTTTCAGGTGTTCAAAGCTCTAAACAACAACCATGGAAGGTCTAGACAGTGATGGGATGAATTCAGGGGCTGGCCTGCATGCATGGGAGCGCAGAAATCTGATCGGCAACAGTGTAGCTGACTACTAGTAAGCTCGGACAGCAGCTATGCATCAACGGAGGCTGTAGACAACCTCTAGCAGTCTTGGGAATCGCTTGGCAGCAAGTTAATCTTGCTGGGATCACAGGACAGCAAGCAGTAACTGCCCAAAAACAGAGGGCAGCAAGCAATCGGGGCCGGCTAAAGTATGGGGAGACGTCACTTGGCTTTGGTGCTCGGGTTTGGATGGAGTGGAAAAAAAGGGAGATTAAAATTATCTGAAATTAAATTCAGATTAGGGCCAGCCGGATTCTGAATTCCTAATTATGGGGGAGATTTTGGAGGGAAAGAGATTTAAAATTTGAAATCTAAACGTAATAGGGAAGGGCATTTAATCCTCCTTAATTGGGGGCTTAAATGTTGATTGATTGAGGCAAGGATTAAGGAGAATTAATGGGGGAGTGGGCCGGCTTGAGAGAGAGAGGAGTATTTGTGTCTAAATTCGTTGTATGTGGGCCATGACATTAAGGATTGATGGAATAATTAAAATCTGAAATTAATTTCAGGTTTTAACTAGAGTGAATGGTTTCCAAAATGGTTTGGGTTGATTTAGGAAGTTTTAGAAATTCAAATCAATTAGATTTGAATTCGAATTCTTTCCAAAAAATAATGTGGCCAAACATGAAAGGTATTGAATGGAAAATTTAATGTGGGATTCAAGGTGAGGGAATGGGGAGGCCGGCGGGTTGGGGCTTGATTGGATGAGGGGGCGGTGGTTTGAGGGGGTGGAAGCGACGAGGCGAAAGGAAGGGTGGCGGGTGGGCTTGACCGGCGGTTGGGAAGTGGTTTGGTGTGGGAGATTATGGACGGGTAGGAGAAGAGGGGCTTTGGCCGTTGGTTGGAGCTTGAGGTGGTGGAGTTGTGGGGTGATTTGGGTGGGGGGGATTGCCGGTGGTGGAAGCTAGGGGATAGTTGGCGGGTGGGGTGGAGGAAACGGAGGAGAAGACGAAGATAAATTAAAATCACGAGTCGCGGACTCTTCCAACGACTGGTGTGTATTTCGCTTGCTCACCTTGAGCTCTCTCTCCATTCTCTCTAGTGCACTCACAAGAAGAAGAAGAAAACACATGAAATTTCATTATCAAATCATCATCCCTCAAATACAATAGAAATGGCCTATATATAGGTCTCACCAAAAAAGAAAAGAAATAAAGACTAAATTGCCCTCGGGGCTAAAACATCAAATGACCACCCATAAGGGTAAAACAGTAAAAAATGAAAATAAAATAAACTACTACATAAATGACTCAAAAAAAATATATAAGCTCCTGATCGTAGCCGTCGATCTCCGGTGTCTCCGAAGGTACACATGTCGAAATCTCTGACGATGTCCTCATCAGTTTTACTAACAACAATATTCATATCTTGTATATCATATATACATACATTATGTACATGTAATAATCATTTAATTAGCAAAGTTTACACCAAATCAAAAAAGAATGTTTAGCAAAATGTAACCATATATTTAAAAATAATAATAATAATTTTCACCCATACGAAAGACCCAAAAAAATAATCTAAGTTATAAATATTGAAGTGATTAAAAAAATATTTAAAAATTAAGATACTCATACAAGAATGTGAGGTTAATCAAGTTTGAAAGAATCTCCATCAATTTTAAGTTTTCGGTAAATTATCAGCTCTAGACCATACTGATGCGTGAATTTTTCTATTTCTCTATGAAAAATTCACCATAGGTACTATATCAATAACAATAGTTACTTGAAGGAGTGAAAGTGTGAAACATCTTGAATGAGCCTCAATAAAGTTTAGTGCAATCTCTGAGTATATTGAAAGGTTTTTAGGCGCCTTTATAATTTTTATTTGAAGTTCATATGTACAAAATTCTATCGCTTTCAATTTTTCAATTAGGCGGAATCCAATAATCATTCATGCAGCAATGCTGCATTGAAAACTTATGATATAAGTGGCTCGATGACTTTTTTGTCTTTTATCATGTAACAAACATACAGAGTTTTTCTATGAACTTCAAACAATAGCAACTACCATACTCTTTGAAGTTTTCATATATTATGACATCTTAATAATATTAAATCACAACTTTCAATTTATAACAATTTTTTAAACTTCATTAAAATAACTATTACTTTAATACACAAAAAAATGATCCACGCAATTGAAAACACTACAAAAATTATTAACGATACGTTCCTCAATTTAGATATTTATTTTTCTTCAAACTTCAAAAAAGAGTAACAATTATAGTTTTTCAAGTTTTCATATATTATAATACCTTAATAAAATTAATTCTAATATTAACATTATAACATTTTTTTCAAAATGAATTCTTTTTTAAATTACATTAAAATAATTATATCTTTAATGCGCAAGCACCACACTAATTACTAGCAATGCATTTCTTAATTCAGATTTTTATTTTAAATTTTTTGCTAAAATATAATGCTTTATTCATTTTATTATTCTCTTTCAAAATATTAAGGACAAAAGTACGTATTGGATTTCAATTTGTATTAAAGTATTGAATGGAACCTAGAAAAAATTAACCTTGATAAAATTAATGGTTTCAAATAGAATATTATAATTGTGAAAAATATAAAGCACAATTTTCTGTTGCATGGCTTAAAAGTCACAAGACCCTTTATGAGTGCTAGAGCAAGTTAAATAATGAAAAAGCACCCTAACTTCTGAGTTTGATGGTGTTCTGCTTATTTTTATTTATCATATTCTAGTTTGAAAGGAGCAGATTTGTAATGTCGAAGCTTATTAAAATGAGATGCATTTTCTAGGCTAATATAGTAATATTGGTGCCTGTAATTATAATACTGTGTTTGTTTTTGTTTAGCATCATATCCTAAGTTTGCGTAAGTGAACTCAAGATCCTAAGAAATTCTGCATCATTAATTATAATCGCAAGTAAAATGTAATGGTTAGTTTTCTGATACTTTAACATAGATGGTAGGAAAAAGAATTTTAAAAAGAAAGTGTAAGCAAGTTCATGATGGTCCAGACAATATTTTGAGCAGGAAAAAAAAAACTTAATAATATTATGTACCAACAAGGGTTTTCTTCTTTATTCGAGCATTGACTGACAGGTTGTCTCAGCATGAGCACTTACATGATCCTCGTTGCCATGGGTATTTGAAGGTAAATTCATTGTTTTACTCTTTGCATTGAGACTATCAAATAGAAGTTCCGTCAGGCAAGGTTACTTTAAAATAACCATTAGGACTGTTTGGCCAACCCGTTAAATAATTAACTAGCTTACCCAAATGGTACTTTAACCGTTTTGGCAAGAGTCCATTAAAGGATTATGTGCATAACTGACATTTAACCAGCAAATATCTCAAAAGGTATGTTTAAACATTTAAGATTAACGAAAATCTCAACCCCTAACGTCTCTTTTTTCTCTTCCCTTTTTTCTTTTTTTTTTTTTTGAAAATTTCCTCTTTCACATTGGGTTCCCCCCTTTCTTTGCTGTTGTTTGAGAAAACATCAGGAATAATTATCTAATGATAACTTAGTTATTTAAAGAAAGAATTAAACATGTGATGATGAAGATGATATTCATTAAAAGGGAATATCCACTGCATGAGACTTCCCATCATTTTGTGTTGTAGGGAAGGTTTTATGTATGCAGCCTTATCTGTGCATTACAGAGACATGGCTTATATGATTCAATTCCATAACCTCTAGAAAATTGTAAAAAGAATATAATCATTCATCTAGGCCTGCCTTCTAAAAGGATAGTATTCATTATGCAGTAAAAACAACGAGCCCGCAACCAGAAATCAAGTTCTCCCTAACTTCAGAAAGTATATAACCCATTTTAAACAACTAGTCATACAAGCGCCTACATATTATCTGCTCTCCAAACTATGTTAGTAGAAACAAAAGAAAGTTGTTACTTCATTCCACAGAAGCTAGATACATGTGGGAATTAATATAGAAAAAAATGTTTTAGACATTCAGCAGATCATATTATGATCTTCCAAAGAGAACAATATTAATAGGTGGCTCGTAAAGTATTAAATCTTTAAAAAAAAAAAGACGCTTTACCAAGAAAGAGCAACAGGTTTATAGCTAAGAATTGTTTCTGAAGTATAATGATGAATTTATTGAAGTTGTAAATCTAGCACATTTCTATAAAGTTATATTAGTCAAAACAAGAAAGCAAGTCTTTTCATTACACGTATGGTATAACTCACTATTCTCATTATATTTCATATCAAATATATCCATACTTTAAGAAAGTCGAGTTATTTAGGTTATTTAAACAATAACAAAACCATGGCACTTTTCTATTAATTCAACTCATGGAAAGCACCATCCAAGGATATCTAATAGCAATTATGTGACCAAAAAACTTCTTTGTCAATAAATTAGCCTAATAACAATAGTTGATGTACATGATGGTTTATAATCAACTAGAATAAAGCATATGGAAGAACTGTAAGAGGACAATCAAATCTAATAAACATTAGAAGAGAATAAGCTTAAGATGACAATTCCAACCAATACAAGTGTTTCTAAAGCCAGTATACTGAAAGAAAACTTACCGCATGCAAGTCAGCAATGAAGTAGAGTGTTTCATACGTATCCTGAAATGACAGAAAAAGGTATGTAATAAGCTTAAGAATGACAAAAGGGTCCATAATGAGTAACACTCCTAGTTTCTTCAATTAAGCGTCAATAGGTTGAAACTAGTTAGGCAGTCAGAGTTAACTTAGACAATTAAAATGAAAGAAGATGAAAGTCTAATATGCATAAAAAAGTATTTTTGAAGTTATGTGGGGGTTCAGGACCATATTCTTAAAGTTTCTTATGAATATTCAGTTTTCTAGCGACCATATCAGATTAGAATATTTTGTATTATTCTGCAAAGTTCAAAACCCTTTAAAAGGGAATTTACTAACCGAGACTATATACCATCTCACTACTGATTACAAACTACATTAACTGTATGAAATGCTATATACTGGCACAATACAACGGTCGCCAAAGAATTGAGACTATTGCTAGAAGTTGTCAATAAGGCCATGCTTGCAGAGATAGAAACTTTTAAAGAAAATGTTTTGGAAATAGACAGAAAATAGAAATCAGATGCTTCACGGAGCAAATTGGATAGCACCACAACACCCTCTATGATACACTATCTATGGAGATGCAGGTTTGGGAATGAGAAGTGTGCTTTATACAAACACTCTCCAGCATTGTTTCGTGTTTCTTAGGAGCCATTTGTATGGGTGAAATAATGCAGGTATGCAAACAAAAACCAGAAGTGAAAGTAACTAAATCTTCCAAAAATGATGACCAGATGGGTTATACTCAGCCTCTCAGATCAGATCGCATGTGTATCACAAGTAAATGGATCATGATGCATAACACTAAATTTACTTTGTGTTAAAGTGCTTCATTAGTTTCAGCGGAGGCGCATGTAAAGTAATACCCTAGATGTGTCAAAAGAAATTTCAGGGAAGAACAAAGAAAAATAGAAAATCCTCATCAAAATCCGGTTATTAGCTAGATGGCATCAGGTTGGCGAATTTGGGGATGGCCTGAGAAAGGGTACTGCATAGTTTTACGTTACTGAATCTTAAATAAATTTGTTATGGGTAGTTAGAAATATCTACAAATATGAATTGAAGAGGAGGAATGCATCGGGTCAGTTGTGTGACAGAAAATTAGCCCTAAGCTTAAAGAGAAATTTTATAACATAGTGGTGAGACCTGCAATGCTTTATGGAGCAGAATGTTGGCTATTAAAAGAAAAACATAAAATTATGTTAAGCATTGCAGAGATGAGGATGCTCAGGTGAATGAGTGACTTTACACTTAGAGACGGAATACAAAAGGATTATGTATGTGAAAAGGTTGGAGTAGCTCCAGTAGCAGATAAGATTAGAGAGAGTCGTCCTAGATGGTTTGGTCACATAAACCATCGGCCTTCCGATGACTAGGCTAGGAGAGCAAATGTTTTAGATCCAGCCTATGTTAAGAAAGGTAGAGGTATACCTAAAAAGAATTGGTTATAAGGAATTAGATATGACATTTGTTTATTAGATTTAAATGAGAATTTAACTCTTAATAGGATACAATGGAGAAAAATAATTCATATAGTTGAACCCACATAGTGAGATAAAAGTTTGATGCTATTACTAGATAAGTAGATATCAATTGTGCTGTCCTTAAAAAGTGATAGAATAAAATGAGGTATTCTAGGGAGGTAGAGGTCTCATCTGTGGGAGGGAGCAAGAAGTAGCATGTGAAATTTTCTATTTGATCAGGGAAAATAGATAATACACTGACCAATTTATTACAAGCAAATCATCTCACAGTTTTAGAGGAAAAATAAATTAAAAGTGTTAAAACAAATATTGCTTTTAACATAGAAGTTTGACATCGATGCTGAATCAGTATACAAAAATAAAATGACAGCCAATATGGATAGATGAAGATAAACTTATGGAAAAACCAATTCCCGTCAATTCCGCCTCCATTAATTTTGCCTTCATCAGTGTTTCATCAAGCTCAACAATCCTCTACCTTCCTTATTCAATTCATCTAACCTCTCAATAATCCATGGGATTAATACTTCCACCTCATCAATATTGGAGTGTTGTAATTATTCGTCCCTTATTTTGTATATTTTATATTGGAGGCTCTCTTATGATTGTATAAATATTACACAAATATTAAAATGAAATACTAAATTAATTCTTGTCAAAACTTCTCAAACAAAACATCATCATCAATACCATCCTTAACGCACCTATTCTGGGTAAGGTAAATTCTGCTTTACAGAACGAGCTTTCTAGTTTGTTCGGTTATATATCCAGGTTGCTTCATTGCTGTCACATCTAATTACAATTACATGGGAGATAAATGGGCCGAGCTACAGCATCTATCAGTCACAACCAAGCATCTAGGCATGATTTACATCAGGGGAGAACTACCAGATGGACCGAAATAACATGTAAATGCTTTCTTTTTGTTGTTTATATAAGGAAACTTTCTCTTTTGTCAGGCAGGAATTGAATATCAGGCGGGACTTTCAAATAAAGCATATAATGATTAGTCCTTTAAAGTGCAGCCCTTATAAAGGTTAAATTTAAAAAGAAAATGCAGTGGAGCTTATACAGATTTAATGTGTGGCAAATCAAATCATAAAATTATTTTTTTCCTCTAATATTCTATCTTCTTTGAAGCATACAATGCTTTCACAGGACTGTGCCTTCAAAGTGAATATATTGGATTAGTATAGAACTATACGAATGCCAAATTTATATAATTTAGGAGCAGAATCTGAAGACTGGATAAAATGAGATGAAAATGTTGCAATGTCACCTGAAGTAAAACCCAGTTCTTAATGGCACCAAGGTAATTTCCCAAGTGAACAGACCCTGTAGGTTGGACCCCAGATACCACCCTTTTCCTGAAAAAATTGAAATGCAGAGTAAGGACTAATGCCATATCAACTATGTGCCCATATTTTATATAAACAGGTTTTGATATGAGAGGCTTTTGTGATACTCAGATAATCCAATAGAAAAGAAATATTAGCTTTCAACAAACATGAATCTCCATCTTGTATGCATCAAGAAAGGTAGAACAGAAATGTTAAGTGAATAGTTTGAGTGGATCATTGAGCCATTGAACATAACTCAGAAATCAAACATAACAGGTACTACTCCCGACAGTAACCAAATCCTCTTCAATAATGAAACTTAAATTTTTATTTTACTTTACTAGAATTCAGAGTAGGTTTCTCCTCTTAATATCTTGATCTGGAACAATAAATGAACTGTACCAATGCTAGAGCTTAACTTTATAAGTTGACAGGATTTTTGTGTTATACTACCAATAGCACGTGAAAGAAGAAAAGCCAGCAAGAAATAGAATAAGCAAAGTAATTTTTCCTTGTTTCCTGAGCTCCCATCAATCCAAGAATAATGACAGATATATGAAGAATCTTCCACCTTTAGCAAGAGAAGTGCTCGTCATTATCATCATCATTAACATTAATACCAAATACTTGGTGTAGCCTTTATGAATCCTCATTTTCCATCTTGTTTTGTGTTGCATGAAGGGTGAAAAATATTTTGCACAAATCTTTTTTAACATCTTCTATCTAAGACTGCATTAATTTCCAATGCCCCTCAAACATAATCATTCCTCAATTTATCATTATTAGAATTTTAGTTTTACCACACATCTATCTTGTTATTAGGATTTCCGCCACACTAAACTTAGCTATAAGCGATGTTTAATTGTCAACCTTCAAATCAATTCAATATAGCCAACCTAATTATAGTTTTACAAAATTTACCATTAATCTTCTATGATATACTCTTATGCATAAGGATGTAAAAGAAATGAGCTACTTGTGGCTCGGCTCTATTATAGCTTGTTCGTGATCGTTTGATTAAGTAATCAAATAAGTTTAAATATTTTTTAAATACTTGATGGCTAAAAAAAAGTTATAACAAATATGTGTTAAACTCATTTATATTCATAAACAACATCGTTTAAAGCTCGTGGACAAGCTCGATAAGAAGCTAGTTCATGTTCAATATAGTGATCGTGAACAAACTTATTAAGAAACTTGATCAACTTTTGTTATGGGGTCGATTAAGTCTCATTATGAAAATGATAAATAATCTCATATAAATTCTTAATATTTTTAAAATTAATTAGCAACAACTATTTATATTTTACAATATTTTTATTTTTTATTTTTATTATAATAAATAATTTTTATTTTATAAAAATCAATTTCATTTTTTATGTTATAATCTTTCATTAGAACGAATATGTTCATGAACAAGAAGTATTTGTTCATGTTCGTCGAATTATTTGTTTAAAGTATTCAGGAACAAGATTGTTTATAAGAAGAATTATTTTCTGAACTAGTTTGTTCATGAACGGGCTCGTTAGGTAGCTTGAAAACACTCGCTATATATATTAGAAAATAAACTCATTTTGTAGATCAAAAGCCCTCGCTAGATATATTTGTGAATATGCTTTGCAGTATTTATTTGTTAGTAGGCTCAATAAGACTTGTTGGTTAAGATAACAAACATCTAGAAAGTAAGGCTCGTTAATAGCTCAATAAAGCTAGGTTTGTTTAAAACACGAAACAAACCAAACATGAAACAAACTAAGGGTGTAAATGAGTCGAGTCGAGTCGAGCTCGAGTAGTAGCAAACTGATACAGCTATGACACATGTCAGGCACGATATAACCGTGTCGGATTAAAATAATATTTAAATTAAAATGGACGCGCATGACATAATTTTTATGATAATTTTATTTAAATTATATTTAATATTTAACATTTTTAATCAAATAAAATAGGGAAAATGAAATCACATATAAAGAATGTCATTTTATCACACTAAGTGCAGGCGATGCAATTTTAATAAAAAATTTCATAATAAATCACTCTATGAGTCTTTATATGTTTAATGATTTCTCAAATTTGAGAATGTTTACAGTAGTTGAAACTCATTTTGCCTCGGCTAAAGAAATGTTTAGAATATTTAAACAAATAAAAAATATCCTTCAGCCTATGATGATAAGTGAGAAGTGTCTTGTTATCGACACTCAAGAGGATGATATTAGAAAGGCAAGATACGTAAACGAAAAGATGTTAAATGATTTATGATTGATGATATTAAGTACATTTTAAGTTTTACTAATTCTATTTATGAGATGCTACGAGTAATTATGAAATGCTATGAGTAGCAGACACAAATAAGTCATGTTAATATTTAGTTTATGAGATATAGGATTCTATGTTAATTAAAGTAAGAGAGATAATATATATACATAAAAGAAAATCACATGCTGAGACATGAAAAAAGGGATTCTATAATATTTTGGAAGATAGGTGGAATAAAAGTAACACACTTTTATATTGCTTGGCTCTCTCTAAATGCAAAGTAAATTTCAAAATATCTTTCACAATTAATTCTCAATTTTTTAATAATAATTGTCTTTTTTTAAAGATATTCAAGAAAAAATAACTTCAAGAGGACCCTCAACGAGTTTCTCCGCAAAAAGATTTAGAAAATTTCATAGTTTAAAATTGCGCAATTAGAGGCGCGCCTCTGCGCAATTTCACCCCAGGCACCCTTATTACTTAAGCAATTATGGGACCAGGAGAGGCGTACGCCTTATAGAACTTGAGGCGCGCCTCAGAGGCGCAATTGCGCAATAACAGGGGAGGCGTACACCTCAAGCAAACCAGCACCACTCACTTAAGTGCCTAATCAAATACCCCATTCATACCTCCCTAGCGTCCCTCGGCCGACCCGAACCACACGAAGCCGCAAAGCCCCGCACTAACCCGCCATAGCGTTCCTCGGCCGATCTTCCCGCCGGTGCCGCCTCACGCCGATGAGTAGCATGTGTCCAGCCGCCCTCTACGAGACCTCTACTACCGATTCTAGGTTTTTTTTTTAATTCAAGATTTGATTTTTAAACTTATAGAAAATCTAGTGTTTAAATTTTTTTAGATTTGTTGTTTGATTTTGCATTTCTGCATTAGGAAACATGATTAGGGGCAAAGAAAAGTCAAATACATCATTGCGGAGAGACCCTTCTTGGAAGTACAGTGTACAGGTTGCAAAGTAATCGTACATGCATAACACTTTAATATGTTATGATTATCGTTTGTCTTTTAGAAAATAGTTGAATGGTGGATCCAATTTGGTGATTCCACCCCTGAGTTACAGAGTTTTGCAGTTAGAGTTTTGGGTCTCACTTGTTCTTCCTCTGGGTGTGAGCGAAACTGAAGCACATATAATCAAGTGCAAACAAAGAGAAAAAATCGACTTTCAACACTCAGAATGAACTCCCTTGTGTATATTATGCCCAACAAGAGGTTGAGATATAAAAGGTTAAGGAACAAGGGGTTGAAGGATGATGAGAACCCTTTGGTGTGTGATGATGTGGCGTCTGATAACGAGTGGTTCATAGATGATGAGACAGATTAGCCATTATCAAACCTACACCTAGAGGATCTAAGTGTGGATGTCTTGAAGGGCAAAACAGATCAAACGGGCACATCCAATAGTACCACACCACACACATCCACTAGTACTGCAGCACAACAAGCAAACAAATGTATCTCACAATTTTTTATGTGCTATTACATTTAAAATATATACAATTAACAGCACACTAATCATTCTTATTGAATAGGGAAGAGAAAAGTGGCTAAGATTAAAGATGATGAAGATTTGGCATTCATAGATATAATTGGAGACAAAGATACCTCCACTGAAGACACATTTAGAGATGGGACATGATTGAATTTTAAATGTTCTTTCTTATTTTTACTTTGGAAGTTTTGATATACTTCAATTTGTAGTTTTGTACTTTGAATTATGCCTCGCCTCACGGACGAAAAATGCCTCGAGGTTTATTTATGCAATTTTAAACCTTGAAATTTTCAAATATGAGGAAGACTTGTTTGAAATTTTATTTTCCAAATGAGGATGAGAGAAAAATGGTTAATATAGAGCTTGTTATATTCTTTGGTTATCAAGAGTCTTCGCGTGATAGATGGATAACGGATCCAAATATGTTGTGATTGATTCATGGAACTTTGACACCACTACTTCAAACAATAGTCATAAAACTTCTTGATCAGGTTTCATCCTCCTCTTGTTGTGAGAGAAATTGGAGTAAATACCCCTTCATTCAATCGATGAATCGAAAGAAGATCACTCCACAATAGACTGATGATTTAGTATATGTTCATACAAGCCATCGTCTTCTATCAAGAAGACTCCAAATTATATAGAAGGCGATAACAAGATGTGGAATGCTGTTAGAGTTGGGTTTGAGTCCATTGACGATATGAGAATATTGGAGATTGCAATCTTTATCTTGATGAGCCAAAATTAGAAGCAATGACATTTAATAAT